CTATTTATAGCCAGTAGTCAAAAGTATGGGTGACAACCTGAAACTGGCATCTGCTGGGGGGAGGGGAATTCTTGCAGGACTGAACCCTAACCTGTGGTATCTGATGCTATCTCTAGGTAGATCATGTTAGAAGTGAATTAAACTGTAGAATACCCAGATGGTCTCACAGACTCACTTGGTGTGGGGAAACTATCACACACTTGGTGACCAGAGTACCTGAAGTGAATGAAGTACAGTACTGGGAGTGGAGGAGACACATAGCTCGGTGTTTTCCCATTGGAGATGTACTTTGAAAACCATGTTAAGATAATTTAAAAATGGGTACAGATAATGAAAAAAACATAGATGTGGAAGATACATTATGAAATGAAATTGCTTCACGAATGTGAGGGTGCAAGAAAGGCAGTACAATTATACTATTTCATATAAAACATGATCTTTATATATGTTGGTAGGTAAACCATTTTAAAAAGGCATATAATTATTTCATCCTTTTTGTCTTCTCATCACAAATTAAGGACCCACCTTATACACACATGGTATATGCTTTAAAAACCACTTCACTTCCCCCTAGAACACAGTTTATTGGACTTTGGAATAAAACATTTGTTTTAATTCATTTTAAAAAGGGTCATTAAGAACCATATTAAGGAAACATTTCCTTTTGATTTCTAAGTTAATTTTTCCCTTTTAGTTTTATGGAAACCATAGCTGGCTTTGAAAAATGTAAACATTAAAAAAGAAAAAAGAAAAATGTAAACATATAGTCACAATCTTATTGAAACAAACGCCATTATCACAAAAATCTCTTTATAATATTACCAAGTAAACTTAATTTGGATTATAACAAATAGTACAAATGAATTTAGGTAAATGTCTGGAATTTGTTTTAACAAAACATGACATTTATTTCTGATTGGCTAATAAGATCAACACAACATCAAAACATGCAAATTAGATGTGTCTGTGACTGAAATACATCAAGACTGAGTTCAAGGAAATGAAATCAGGCACTTAAAAATTAATGTTTTCCATGCTTGAGTTTTTTTTTTTTTTTAAGATTTTATTTATTTATTTGACACAGAGATCACAAGTAGACAGAGCAGCAGGCAGAGAGAGAAGGAGAAGCAGGCTCCCCACCAAGCAGAGAGCCCGATGTGGGGCTCGATCCCAGGACCCTGGAATCATGACCCGAGCCAAAGGCAGAGGCTTAACCCACTGAGCCACCCAGGCGCCCCTCCATGCTTGAGTTTTAATGAGGATTTGGGTCTGTCAAAGAATCATATAGAACTAGTATCCTGTCTGAGAGTAGTGGTAAGAGGTCATGTAGAATTAGTAACAAATTTAAGAGGTGACAGCAGCCGTAGAGCACAAAGATGTAATTCCCCAGGCCCTGAGACCCTCAGCCACCTTCCTCTGGAGTCCTGGGACCCAGTCTGCCTCCAGGTACTTTGTGCAGCATTCCTCTCCAAACTGGCTCCAAAAGAACCACGTGACCCAGTGTATAACACCTTCCTTCCCAGGAGTAATTACCATTACACTCCCAACCATCAAGTATTTGTGTAAATACTTGTTTAAAAAAAAAAAAAAGAAAAAGAAAAAGAAAAAAAAGATAAAAGAATGGGAGTAGTACAGAATTAAGAGGTTTCCAAAGATGAAAGAAAACTTGATCCATTATTGAATTGTTTCTTTTGACTTTGGAGTCTGAGGTTCTGGTCACTCCATTTCTTTGTGGATCTAGGGGAAATATGCTCACTTCCCCTCCAAAGGAAACCAAGTGGAAGCTACCTCTTGGACTCTTCCCTGGTCCCCCTATAAGCAGGTTTTCTAAGTCTGTGATGGAAAGTTTCGGCACACATGCGCACACAGGGGCGCGCACACACACATACACACTCCCACCCTGGAATCATCTACTCTAGTCCCTTCATTCACATAGGAGAAAACGGAGACACAGATCATCAGACCCATCTATGCAGCTTTGGCAGAATCAGGACAAGACCCATCTCCCAATTCCCAGGGACATTCTATTCTGATTGATAAATTTTCTTCAAAGTCCCTCATCTGAGCACCAATAGCTTCTTCCTGCAACAACCTTTCCTATGAACAAACTCAAGTGGAATGGATTCAAGTCATTCAAGTTTCCCCTCACAGAACCCCAAAATCTGAGGAAGATGACAGAGTTCAAAAGAGGGGGAGCTCGCTAAGCTGAGTGATCAAGGTCTCTCTGCCTGTTTGTATCTCTTTTCTCCCTTAACCTCCCCATATTAGACCTATTTTTGTCCATTTCAAGAGGCAGAAGAAGTGCTGTCATCCCCAGCCCATCTAAGCCCCCAGACTAGGCTCAGTTTGCATGTATGCCCAGAACATGGCTTCATCTTTAAGCTGCAGGAAGTGGTCTGAAGAGCTCAGATATTTCTTTGGTAGATACTTGTAAACATACAATTAAAATTAGCATCTCCAGAAACAAAATTAACCTTATCAAAATAATACATTTTAAAACACCAAAACTTGGCTAAGAAGTATCTTTAATAATCAACCTCACAGGTCAATAAGAGAGCTATAAATAAATAATTTACTATTTCCTGACAATTGTGAGACTTGTATGGTTTTAAAGAAATGTTTAATGTTGGGGCATCTGGGCGGCTCAGTGTGTTAAGCCTCTACCTTAGGCTCAGGTCATGGTCTCAGGGTCCTGGGATTGAGCCCCAGGATCAAGTCCCCCATTGGGCTCTCTGCTCAGTGGGGAGCATGCTTCCCCCCTCCCCCTCTGCCTGCCTCTCTGCCTACTTGTGATCTCTGTCAAAAAAAATAAATAAAATCTTAAAAAAAAAAGAAATATTTAATGTTAACAGTTGCTTATTCTTGGCTCTATGGGGAAACAGTTATAGATCTAAAAAGAACTAATCAATTATAACCAAAGATTTGGGGAAGGTAAAGATGCATGAAACAAAGGACTGGCTAGTCCATAAAATAACTAAGTGAAATCAAACTTTCTCACCCAAGTCCTTGGATGCTTTCTTCATCTTTTGAATGAGAAGACCTGGGTTGAGTATGCTGGCTAATGGTGAGTGTCCCTCACATCCTCCCGGGACTCAGAAAAAAACTCTTGGAAAAAGGAATTCACACCATGACTTCAGTCCCTTTTTCTACTCCTCAGCTTTACCTCAAGAAACTACAAGACTTCATGAATAGTCCATGGAGTTCATTAAAGCTAAAGTCTTCCACTCAAAGGGTTTAATTAGGCTAAGAGTACAAGACCAGAACCCCAGTTTCTAATCTCTTTGGAGCACCACACTTTCATCTACTAAATAGTAACTTGAGCCACAAACAAGGATCAGAAAACTCAATTCAGGGGCGCCTGGGCGGGGGCTCAGTCCATTAAGTGTCTGCCTTGGACTAAGGTCATGATCTCAGGGTCCTCAGATTGAGCCCTTTTCCGGGCTCCCTGCTCAGTGGAGAGTCTGCTTCTCCCTCTCTCTCTGCTCCTCCCCCTACTGGTGCTCTCTAATAAATAAATAAAATCTTAAAAAAAAAAAAAAAAAAGAAAGAAAGAAAACTGGATTCAGATTTTTAAGGTAAACCTAACTAGTAAAAAGCAAATACATGGACTAGGAAAGGGGAAGCAATATGGCAAGTGGGTCAGGGACAGGATTTAATTTTAAATCAGAAATATGACTTAAAAGATTAAATGTGGTTTATACACTAATAATATAACCCATTCTTAGATATCCAGGTTAATAGGAAATAAACAGGCTCGAGACTGAAAGCTGCCACATTACCCCGTTTTAAGGCACAGATCTAAACATAGCTGAATGGGGATAAAATTCCCTCCACTTAAGAATTTAGGTAAAAATGCTGTTTATCAGAGTAAAAGCATGTTAAACTGCTCGCTGCTCGAAGGTAGAAGTAACAGCAACCATGTCCCTAGGCGGGTAAGAACCAGCATACTCAGCCTTCTGGAACTAGCCCATAGACAAGACGAGGAGCTTCTGTGTAAGATCAACCTGAGAAATTTATACCAGCGGTTCTACCGCTAGCTGGATGACCTTGGGAAAGGTACTTAAGTTAGAGTTTTAGTTTCTTATTTATAAAAATTATTCATAAAAATTATTTTACCTATCTCACGGTGCCATTGTAAGTATCGGAAGAGATCATTTATAAAGAGTACCTAACTCACAGCTCTTTATGGACAATGTTTTGCTGTTATTCTCTGCAAAGACAATTCAAGTAGTTAACACTACAGCAGAAGAAGAGGGGGTTAATCTTTGAAGGTTTTCTGGTTGGTTTTGCTTTAATCAAAGAACAGCCACACTAAAGAACCTGACCAAAGTTACTTACTATAAATTGAACGTAATACTTATTATGAACCTAAAGCTGCTCACTGGATTGTATAAATACGAGTACAAAGTATTAAAAATATGCGCCTGTCTTTGTTTTTATATGGCAAAATTTTCTGTGTGCTCCTCTTTGGAAAGGGTATTCCCATCAGTTATAAACCGCCGCTCCAAATGTGGTAATTTAGATCAAGGTCATTACTAACCCAGATGACCAAACCTGAAAAATACTGTTCTCACGTCAGAGACCTTGAAGAAAGAACGCTCTAATGGGACTAAAATACCTTGCAAAGAATTACAACACGAACAGCTCAAGAAATCTTAATTTGTAAAAGGTCACAGAGTTACAAAAAACATCGCTCATTTCAGCTAATTAAATGAAATTTTAGTTAAACGGCACCTTTAAATATTGGTATTGCAGCTGCGAGTGCATTTAAATAGCATTTACGCAGATATAATTAGCACAATTAAACATGGGTAGAAGTGGAAGCACCATTCTTAATTATATTGATATAATCAGTTTTATTAATGCTTTATAGCAACAAAAGTGACATCTGACAGTAGCGCACAATTCATGACTGAACCTCATATTAAGCGTTTTAGCATATTAAGGAATCAAAAGCTAGGTAACTGGGGAAAGAAAGAAGTCAAATAATGCGTGCCTACCTGTGACGATCCCATAGTTGGGAGGTTCGAGAATTACTCCATAAAACTGGATGATGTTTCTGTGACTGAGGACACTGAGTATTTCTGCCTGCACGAAAATCAAATACAAAGTTACAGAAGATTTCACATTTATAAAAGTCTCCTAAAATAGGTTGCCCATTCAATTTCCTTTTACATACATTTATGAAGATAGATACGTGCTCAATAAGTATGTACTGCTGATAGAACTCTGTGTTTCGCAGCCTTCTCAAAAGTTTGGGAATTTTGATTGAAACTTTCCGACATTTAAAAAGGAAATGGGGTTGAAGGGGCAGAAGCAGGGGTGCGTCCCAGCAAGCCAGCATGACAGTAGTGAAGAGGGTGGCGGCGAGGTGAGAGGTCCTATCTGTTTACAGAAAAGCCCTCTTCCTGATAGTTGAATGTGTTTTTTCATTTTGCATCGTGTCTCTTGTAGGAGACCGAACTTCTACTGGTCGGATGAAGAATCATCACCAAATTAACGGAGGATTTCTGAACTATTGCTAAAACAGGTTCAGGTAATACCCATTGATATTATTTATCTAATCATTCAAAATATATTTTTGCTCTTGTACTATATACAGCAAAGTCCTGAAAAGGATGTAAGGGTGGGTTCCTGACCTTCAGTGGTGACCTGGCAAGTAGGGAAGCTGTACTTTACATCTGAAATGTATTAAATACCAGAAAACTCTACTGCAGAGTGACATTATAAAAAGATAATAAACTTAATTTTTTAAATGAAAAAACAGAGATACTGCAGTGCATATCTGCTAATGTCTGTAAGAAGGGCATTCTCTAAGTTAACTAAATCACATGTACTTATTACCTTTGTGGAGACAAAATACAGGTAATCAAGAATTATAAATACAATTAGATACAAAATCACTTAGGTACAAAAAAATTCAATATTTTTAAATGAAAAGCGTATTATTGGCAGTAAGTAAACAGGAGATTAGTAATTCCCCATTCTAGGTAAGCAATTAAAGAAGAATGAACAGGGCTTGGTTAGAAAGGGGACTCCCCCTTTGGGAATCTGCACAATGTAAATCAGTATTATTTGTTACAAATTTTTTGTCACAGGGTAAGAATTGAGATTTCTTAAAAACACTGCAAAACTTGTTTTTAAGGTGGTATAACTAGGTACAAAACAGAAGTTTAAGTGTTGGCATGGGGTCAATACGGAATCAAGAGAAAGGAAAATTATTGACTGGATGAGACATTTATCAAGGTTTCTTTGCCAGTGTTTTCCTTTTAGTGACACAGGTGCTGAAGGGAGCGATCAAAACACCCCTCTCACACTCTCTGAGTGCCTACTGTATACAGAGGTTCTGTGTTCCTCAACCTTCTTCCCATAGTTTAGCTTTCCAAGTAGAAAGAAAATACATTAATTGAGCAAGACAATAATTCATCCATATGGCAATTTTATTCTTATTGGGATATAATAAGTGAACTTTATTCTTAAGACAGAGTTTGCGTGAGGGCCACCTGGGTGGCTCAGTCGGTGAAGCATATATCTGCCTTCAGCTTGGGTCATGATCCTGGGGTCCTGGGATCGAGTCCCGAGTAGGGCTCCCTGCTTGGTGGGGAGTATGCTTCTCCCTCTGCCTCTCACCCCTCTTGTGCTCTCTCTCTCCCCCTCCCTCTAACAATAAAATCTTAAAAAAAAAAAAAAAAGAGTTCATATGATGTGAAATTTGGAAAACATAAGCCCCCCTATTTTTAACACAGATCAACTCTTTGTCAGTAAAGCATTAGAATTTAATGCAAGTCAAGCACTAATGTTTGGACCAGTGTTTATCAAAACAGGGGAATGTTATCCCATGGTATGTTCTGGTGAATTCTGTGGGGTATCTAAATTCTGTGACCATAAAAATCGCTGGCTCAGTCAATAGAGCATGTGACACTTGATCTCAGGTTGTAATTTCGAGCCCTACGTTGGGCGTAGAACTTAAAAAAAAACCAAAACAAAAAAAGAGAATTTCTAAATCTTTGGATGGCCATTTTATAATTCAGCACCACATGGGATTTTCATTGTTCCAGCTAATTTTCATGTTTACATTTAAGATATTGCCAAGTAATGCCTTGGAGAGCCAGAATTTATCTTTCAAGTGCTGGTAACATATGCAGATGTTAAAATAACAACCATTATTTTGTGTCCCATTATTATGCTCATTTAAATTTTTTTTTACAGTTAGGAAAAACTAAATTCTTGTGGTATACTTTGGAAGTAAGACACTTTCACAGAGTAAGACCTTCAGTTCTAATTTAACAAACTAAGAATTTGATTTAACATAAAAACAACATAAGACTTTATAGAGTGCTGTACTAGTTCCATGGAAATGGTCTTATAATAAGCAGAGATAGGACTAAAATCTAGGCTGTAGCAATCAGCATCTGACAGCAAGTGGGTGTGTTCTGTAGATTTGCCTTTACAGGCACCTGCTTGCCAACCGATCCTTAATGCAACTGTTACAGTAACAAAAAGCTTCTCTTTAAATTGTTGTTTTCCAGATTTATATTTTGGAATACTCTAGCAAATAGACTGCCCATCAAAATAATGGATTAGTGGTTTAAAAAGTTCACTTAAGGAAACATACTAGTGATGAAGGCTAACTATAACAGTCCGTTGTGCCAAAAAAAAAAAGTATCTTTTTACACTATTGACATCAACAAAAGTGATTTTTCAGTAAATGTAATTTGATGAAAATTGTTCATTTTAGTTATGTTGACTTTATGCTTTTATTTCTACTTAACTGAAAAACTGGTTTTGATTTTACAAGAGCTATAAGCATAAGGAGTTCCGGTGAGGCTGGCTGGCTCAGTCACCAGAGCATGGGTCTCTTGATCTCAAGGTTGTGAGTTTGTGTCCCATGTTGGGTATAGAGATTACTTAAAAATAAAATCTTAAAAAAAAAAAAAAAAAAGCATAAGTAGTTCTTCATTTTATATTGTATATACTTAAGTTACACTGAAATAATTTTAATCAACATCAGGAATACAGATGACTTAATTTTTCTATATAAAGAATCTATATATTTCTCAGTTTGCAAAATGCCACTCTAGGAACACAAACAGAGACGTGTAGGCCAGTGCTCACTGCAGCATTATCCCCAATAACCAAAACGTAGAAGCAACCTGAGTGTTATCAACTGATGGGCAGATAAACAAAATGTGATATATGAATACGATGGAATATTAATTTAGCTATAAAAAGGGATTAAGTTCTGATACATGTTACAATACAGATGAACCTTGAAAACAGTGTGCTAAGCGAGTAAGCCAGGCACAAAATGACAGATACTGCATGACCTTTCTTTTATAACTTATCTTGAATTGTCAAATTCAGAGATAAAGAATGCAGATTAGAGGTTACACCAGTGCTGGGGAGGACGGAATGGGGAGCTGCCGCTTAACGTGCAGAGTTTCTGTTTGGGGTGATGAAAAAATTTGGAAATAGGTCATAGTGATGGTTGTACAACACTGTGAATGAAATTAATGCCACCAAATTGTACACTTAAATATGGTTAAAATGGCAACTTTCACGCTATATATATTTTGCCACCCCAAAAAAATGTTTAAAAAATACAGTCAGAGGGGCACCTGGGTGGCTCAGTGGGTTAAAGCCTCTGCCTTTGGCTCGGGTCCTGGTCCCAGGATCCTGGGATCGAGCTCCACATCGGGTTCTCTGCTAGGCGGGGAGCCTGCTCCCTCCACACCCCCACCCCTGCCTCCCCTGCCTGCCTCTCTGCCTCCTTGTGATCTCTGTCTGTCAAATAAATAATAAAATATCTTTAAAAAAAATACAATCAGAATGGCTAAAATTAGTAAGTCAGGAAACGACACATGTTGGCAAGGCTGTGGAGAAAGGGGAACCCTCTTACACTTCCGGTGGGAATGCAAGCTGGTACAACTGCTCTGGAAAACAATATGGATGTTCCTTAAAAAGTTAAAACTAGAGCTACTCTATGACCCAGCAATTGTACTACTGAGTATTTACCCCAAAGATACAAATGTAGTAATCTGAAGGGGCACATGCACCCCAATGTTTATAGCAACAATGTCCACAATAGCCAAACTATGAAAAGAGCCCAGATGTCCATTGATGGATGAATGGATAAAGATGTGATGTGTGTCTATCTACCTAGCTAGCTAGCTACACATACATATGCAATGGAATACTATGCAGCCATCAAAAAAAGAAATCTTGCCATTTGCAATGACATGGATGGAATTAGAGGGTACTATACTAAGTGAAATAAGTCAATCAGAGAAAGACAATTATCATATGATTTCACTCATATGTGGAATTTAAAAACAAAACAGAGGAGCATGAAGGAAGGGAGGGAAAAGTAAAACAAGACAAAATCAGAGAGGGAGACAAAGCAGAAGAGACTCTTATTCACAGGAAGCAAAAGGGGTTGCTGGTGGAGAGGGGGTGGAGGGATGGGGTGACTCGGTGATGGGCATCAAGGAGGGCACAAGATGTAATAAGCACTGGGTGTTATATGCAATGATGAATCACTAAACACTACCTCTCAAATTAATAACACACTACATGTTAATTAACTGAATTTAAATAAAATTAAATTTAAAAAATAAAAGCTCTCAAAAAAATAAAAAATGCTATTCTGAACTTTTGTAGAGATGATCATATTCTCTCTACATATATTTATATACATACATACATACATACACACATAATAAATCTCTCAAAGTTACAGAACTCAAGGTCTAAATATCCTTGGGTCGGTCAATAAGTACTTTTTCAGATCAGGATTTAAGGAAGCAAGGAAAGTCTATGGTGGACTACAACAATTTTAACTCTGGCTCAAAGACTCTCCATAAAAAGTCCCAATCTGATATAGAAGAGACATAACTATAGTCTATCCATAAAAATGTCTTTATCAGAGCACAAAAATGTCTACACAGAAACTGTGTTTACAGTTAGGTATGTGACTGCTCCTACTGTTTCCAGCCCCGCTGGTTTCTTCCTCTCTCCCTCCCCTGCCTTCCTCCTCCTTTTCTTCTTCCTTTATGGGAAGGCTTACAGGCATTTCAGCGAACAGATCC